GGGAAGGTAGAATGTCCACTAATCCACTTTTTGTCTCAATAGCTTCTCCTACTCTGGAAATATAAATGGAATCATATGATATGTGGTCTTTTGTGATCGATGTCTTTCATTTAGCATAATGTTCTCAAGTTTATCCATGTTGTAGGATGCATCAGTTCTTCATAGCTTTTTATTATCAAATTATATGCCAATGTATGGATATATCACATTTTATTTATCCATTCATCAGTTGATAACATTTGAATTGTTTGTACTTTTTGGCTATTTTGAATAGTGCTTCCGTGAATAGTCATGTACACTTTTCCTGTGGACATAAGTTTTCATTTCTTTTGGATATACAGGTAGGAGTGGAACCTCTTGGATATATAAGGAGAGGTAGAATCTCGGCAGTTCCGCTCCTAGTTATTTATCTAAGAGAAAAAGACTTTCTCTTTAACCATTTGAGAACCTGCCAGGCTGTTTTCCAAAGTGACTGCACCATTTTACATTTCCACCACCAGTGTGTGAGGGTTCCAATTTTTCCAGATCTTCAACACTTGTTATTTTATGACTTTTTTATTATAGCCTTCCTAGTGGGTGAGAAGTGTTTCCTTATTGTGGTTTTGATTTGCGTTTCCCTGATAGCTAATGATGGTGAACATCTTTGATGTGCTTATTGGCCATTTACGTATCTTCTTTGGAGGAATGTCTATTTAAATGCATTGCTCATTTTTTATTGAGTTATTTGTCTTTTTATTTTTGAATTGTGTGAGCTTTCTATGTTGTCCCTTATTTGCAGATATGATTTGCAAATATTTTCTCACATTCTGTGAATTATCTTTTCACTTCCTTGGTGATGTCTTTTGAAGCATCTTGCTAATATTCTTTAAAAATTTTTTAAATTATGTAAGAAATACATGTATACAATGAAAAATTAGAAAATTTTGAGTGATACACAATAATAAAAAGAATAAACAAAACATTTATAATCTTATCATTCAGAAGTAATTGCTGTGAACATTTGGAGTTTGGTCCTTTTATTAAAATAAAATCACATTCGCTTCTTAATTGTTTGCAAATCTTATCAGTGGTGAGTAACTTTCCATGTCAATAAATACATTTCTATAGCATCTTTTTTTTATGTTGCATAACATTTAATCATGTGGATGTTCAATTTACCCAAATGGTTCCTTATTGTCGGATGCTTAAGTTGTTTTCAATTTTTCACTATTATAAATGAAGTTAATTCTTTGTGCGTACCTATGATTATTTTCTTTGGATAGATTTCGAAAACAGAAGTGATGGGTCAAAGTGTATCTACACTTTAAGCATGTGGAAACATGCAGCCAGACTGCCTTCTGGAAAGATCGTGGCCAGCTATGCTCTCGCTAATGTGGTCCACACAAAAGAAACAAATACTATTATCAGTAACAGCAGTAAACACATTGCACTAATGTGTTCTTTATACATCTTGACTCATTTATTCCTCACAATAAGTTTATCAGATTGGTACTATTATTTTCCCATTTTACAGATAAGCTAATTGAGTTACGTGGTTGCCAAGGGTCACATAGCTAGGAGTGGCAGGATTTGAACCCTGCTAGTCTGGCTCCAAGTCCCGGCTCCCACCTACTCTGATTTACTTCTTCTTTATATCCATATCACATGAAAATTATTGGCAGCGGCAGCTCTGTGTCCAAAAGCCCAGAAGGGACAACACCTGGTACTATTAAGCACGCTGCTTTAAGATATTATTATTATGCTACGAAAGCTTCCTTTTATTCTTGATTCACTGAGAGCCTCATTTAGGAATAACTGAAAAATTTTATCACCCTTTTCACCCCACCCCTCTTCTTTTTTTTGCATGTTATGGATCAGGGGTTGGTGTGCTTTTTCTTAAATGGCCAGATAGGTATATATTTTAGGTTTGGGGCCGTAAGGTCTCTGTTACAACTACTCAACTCTGCCTTTGTAGCTGAAAAACAGCCACAGGCAATATTTAAATTACAAAAGCAGGTGGCTGGCCAGTGGGTCATAGTTTTCACATTTCTGTTATAGATGATCAACTGGGTTTTCTCTCCTTACTCAATGATATTGAGCCACTTGTGCATTCTGGAATAATCCAGCTTGATCTACTGCAGCAATCTATTTGTTAGTATTTTATTTAGGATCTTTATATCTATATTTGGGAATAGGATTAAGCGTGTGTGTGTGTGTGTGCGTGTGTGTGCGTGTGTGTGCGTGTGTGTGTGTGTGTGTGTGTTCATCTGTCAGTCAGTCCTGGTCAGGCTTCACAAAGAATGATTTATTCTTTGAAAGACTGATAGAACTTTTCCCCCAAAGAAACAATCTTGGCCTGGTGTCTTTTTTTGGAAGTAGTTCTTTGAGATATCTTCTACTTTCAGGGTTACTGATCTCTTCATGTTTTCTATTACTTTTGAATCAGTTTTGGCAACTTATATTTTTCTAGAAAATTACCCATTTCATCTAGATTTTCCAAGGTTTTGTCATTGATTTGGGTGTAGTAAATCTCTTAATGTTTTTATTCTCCCTATATCTTTGTATATGACCTTTCTTATTCTTGATGGTGCACTCACTTTTTAACATTAGATTTAATAAATGTTTATTTTATTGATATTTTGTAAGTTTGCTCTGGAGTTTAATTATCAATTGTAATGTCCTTCTTTCTAATACACTAATTTCTACTTGTCATTTTCAAATTTTAATCTTCCTAATTTCTCTTTCTAATTTTTTGAGTTATCTGATTATTTATTTTCATTCTTTTTGTATAAAAGCAAAAATGTTTAAGGTTGAATTTTTTTTTTTTGAGTACAGACTTGGCTACCATCTATAAATCTTGGAGTATAGTCCTCTCACTATTGATATTTTCTAAGTATCTGTGATTTTAGTTTTGGTTTTCTCTTTGACCTAGGAAGTTTTTAAGAGGATGCCTTTAAATTTCTAAAACGTTGGGATTTTTAATTTTTAAATTTCTCATTAGTTTCTAGTTTTATTGCATTATAGTCAAAAAATGTGACTGATAATGGGTTTATTTTTAAAATTTATTGAAATTTGCACTGTGGCTTTTAATTTTTTTCTGAGTGCTCCAATGGTGCTGGACAAGAAGGTATATTTTCTGTTTTTAGGTTGCATAATGTTTGTCTATTTAATTGACACTGTTAACAGTAGTATAATAACTTTCCCACAACTGTTGTATTCTGTCATTTCTTTGTACAAAATACACTGGTTGTTGCCTGTTTATGCCTGACTCTGAGCCTGGGCTGGGGAAGAAAAGAAAGACTTAGGAGGAATCAAACAACTAAATGAAATTCCATTCTAATCATTTCTATCTCTGTGTATATATTTGCCTGCGTGTTAATGTGTATATTTTGGGGACGGATATGTGCATTTCAGTATACATATCCCTTGGGCATGTCTGTGTAAATATAGTCTTCCATGTGTTAGTGATCATGTGAGTTTGATATGTATATCTGTGTGTATTTATTGATCCATAGTATCTTTTTCTTTAAATTAAAACATGAGGGCTAGGGGTCCACCTTGCCCTGTGCTGCAATTTCCAGGGTGGTTACAGGTCAGAAAGCTCTGCTACCCTGTGTCATAATCCATCTGAACCTCTTTTCCTCTCTCCTGGCTGCAGAAGACCCTCCTGGTAAGTTGGTCAGACAAGGAGGGACTCTGCAGACTCGGCCTTGTGCTGACACCCTTTCTCTGTGCTGTGTGCCTGGAGACCACATTCTGGCCACAGAGAGGGTGTTAGGGCCACATTTTCAGGATGGCCGAGACTCCAAGAACCTCGTTCCACCCTTCCCCACTGCGCCTGTTCAGGTCCCCTTGGCCTGCCTCTACCTTGTACTCATCCTTAATAACCCGGAACTCAAAGGACTGAGCACTGATTTCAAGGGAGCCACCAACACCCCCAGGAATCCGATGGTAGACATTCAATTCATTTTATAGAATCAGAGCAGTTCCTGGGAGATCTCCTAGCCCACCCCCTTGTATAGAGGAGGAAAATGAGTCCCGGATGGGCTCTCCTTCCACCTTGTCCTTGGCCCTTCCCACTGAGCTGGATGAGCTTTAATCGTACTAACAGGCACAGACCCGAGTGCCCAGCCCCAGGCAGGTTTTGGGGGAGGCCTGGGGAAGAGTGACCATCCTACCTCTGAGGAGCTTGCTGACTCTTTTGGTGACAGGACACACACGTCTAGACAGTATGCAACTGGAGGGGCATTCTAGACACAAGAGCTAAGAGGGTCTGTAGACACAGCATATGCAGGAGAAGTTAAAAGGTGGGGAGGCCAGTGTGTGTCATAACAGGCCTGTCCACCTTTTCCTACAAATGTGAGTGAGTGGAGAAAGAACAGGGCAGAGTGTGTTGTCACAACTTCCCTTCTTCTCACCTAATTTCTTCCACGTAGCATAGTGGTTTTTGAATAATGAGCACTTAGTATGTGTTGATTTTCAGGAATTTGGCCTTGATTTGACATTGGAGGAGGCTAAGTTCTGATTTCCAATGCTTTCTTTTTTGCTGGGTCGGAGCAGGATAGCTCTTTGGGGTCCGAGTTTTTCTAGGTATACTGTATTTTATTAATAAATTACACATTATTGACATTTTCCCCAAATTGTTATCCTATGTACCATCAGAGTTTAGCCTCAGCATGTCCCTGGAACACAGAGGGGACCATGATGATTATGCTTATTTTACAGAAAGGAAAAAAGAGAGACCTGAGCACTTAAGAGAATCACACAATGAATGGGGGCAGGTCCTGGGCTAGAGCTTCTGCCTCTTAATACCAAGCAGGTGTTCAAACCCTTTTTCCAGTCTGTGCAGTCTTGGCTCCCGGAGAAGCAGGAAGTGCCAGCTCTCTGCTTCCCTGAACTCACCCAACAGGGGAGCTTTGAGGTCTAGGCCGGCCATTTGGCCTTGCTAGGTGTCCAGTCTGGAAGGATCTTGCTTGGCAAGGTCTGTTTCTGAAGTGATTGGTTTCTTTTTATCCACTCAGGAGGAGGAGTTCATCGATTGGTGGAGCAAATTTTTTGCCTCTATCGGGGAGAGGGAAAAGTGTGGCTCCTACTTGGAGAAGGACTTTGACACTCTAAAGGTGAGGATTCTCCAAATATTCTCTTCAGTCTAGCAGTCCCTGGGCACAGGTGATGGGCAGAGGGAGACACAACAGAAAGAGAATATGTGTATATTCACACACACACACATATTTGTCTTCTCATTTGGTGCCTGAGGGCTGAAGAATCCTGATGAACTAATTGAGGTGAGAAAGGTCACCCACTGATTTAGAGCACAAAGTCAGCGTGGGCTGGGATAACCAAGAGAGTATTTTGAAAGAATGCTAAAAAGTACTGATGTATTTCTGGGTGAAATGATGCCTGGGATTTGTTTTCAAATGCTCAAAAAAAAAAAAAAAAAAAAAAAAAAAAAGAGGAAAGAAAAAGAAAACTTAAGAAAAGAGGAAGATAGATAGTGTGAGTGGCCTTCTGACAGATTTTCAAAATATTAAAAATTATTCAATTTGCAAAATATTGAAAATTATTAAAGCTTAGAGACGAGTACTTAGGGATTTGTAATACTATTCTGTATATTTTGAAGTTATTTGAACTTTTCTGTAATAAAAATTTGTATTAAAGTAAAAAGGAAAGTCAGCTTGAGAATGTAGCTCTAATTCCCCCACCTCTACAATTGGGACATAAACTGCCTAGAAAATATAAACATATGGTAAACTCTGTCTTGTGAAAAAAAGAAATAAAAGAAACTCCCCAAAACAACAACAAAAAACAAAACCAGGGATGAATCAGACAAATTCTGGTATTTTAAGAAAATTCCACAAATAAAATAATGCTTTTTAAAAGTAGGCTACTTTAAAAAAATATAACCAGAGGTGACTCAAAATTACTTTCCAAAGGAGTTGTGTAATGTCCTGGAGAGAGTGACCAGCAGGTAAGATGCAGGATACTCACTTTATACCTCAATTTCACATAAACAGTAAATATTTTAGTGTAAGTATGTTTCAAATATTGCACGAAACATATTTATCTAACAATTATTTGTTCTTTATTTGATATTCAAGTTTAACTGAGTGTCTTGTATTTTCACTTGCTATATCTGGCTGCCTTACTTAGAGAAGCAAGTATGGCGAAGGCTGTCAGATGCATGGGAGAGGTCCAAGGAGCACCCTAAAGGGGACTTGGTGAATAGGATTTAGGGCTAGTCGGAGGAGGAGATAGCTTGGGCTTTCAGATAGTTCTCCTGGCTGAAAGCCTTTGGTGCACACTCTGGAGAGTGATTTCACGAAGTGGCAAGAGTTGTCTCTGATATGTTGGAGGCTCTGGGTGAATTATCCCTGGAGACCTGGATATGCAGAGATGAGGCCTCAGGCAGCAGCAGTGGCTCTGCAGGCACAGGCCTCCCCAGGAAGCAAGTTTTTCACAGACTTGGTAGTTGGATGTGTGAGGTTGGGCAAAGAGACAGACCTGTTTGTGTACCAGGAATAAGATCGGACACATTAGGTCTGGCATGTGGTACTATAGCCTTGCCAAAAAATGAGAAAAAGTAAGTAAGAATGAGGACTCCCGCCAGGGTGACCTGTGGCCCTGGCCCCCTTGCAGCTCTCTCTCTGATGCTGGATACCGAATTGGCACCCAGCCCTCCAGCTTGACCTCTCTGAGATGTCTGACAGTATCCAAATGAAAATGGGCTGTCCAAAACAAAATGCACCCAACCTGTTTCTGGGGGAAAAACCAGACCTGGAAAGAACACTGGATGAGTAAGTTTAAGGATGAGTAAATAGAAGAAAACCACCACCATCAACATGTTTCTTTGAAAAATAACCTGTAGCATTATGGAGAGAATAGAATACACAGTGGGTAGAGACAAAAAAACATAATTTTGGTAATCATTAGCGTGGGGAAGAAAAACAACTCATACTCTCAATAACAAAAGTTAGAAAACAAAAGATACAACAAGAAAGCTTAAGAACACCCCAGAAAGTATATAAAAACACTAGAAAAAGAATATAACATATTAGTTTTCCTAATAAGTAAAAATGGACTAAATTCCTCTATTAGGTGATTATAACTCTTGACTATATCAAAAGTCAAAATTCATTATATTGTCTTTCGAAGATATGTCTAAAACAATACAACTTAGAATGGCTGAAAATCAGTATTTGGCAAACAAGATAAGTGCAAACAAAAGAGAAAGGGATGGAATTTAAAGTAAAAAGCAAAGGAAACAAAATGGAGTGTCTTATATAAATAAAACACATACACCTCAATGAAAAAATATTCCCAGATATTTTTGCATAGAACAATAAAGCTTAAAAATATTTAAAACAAAAATGGTAGGAATATGTAAACTAATACCTCACACAAATAAAAGCATGAGATGACAAATTAAAGTTACAGTGGGATTTTAATGTACCTCTTTCCTAGACAGATGAAGCAGGAAATAAATAAATAAGGAAATAAAAGATATGAATAACGAGTAAGTGTTTTTAAAGCTAAATTAAAAGTAGCTTTAAAATAGAGAATAAAAAATAATAAAAATAGAGAATACATTTTTTCCTAATGCTCAGAGAACACTTACAAAATTTGGTCATATATTAGTTTAGTAATAAGTTACCAAAAGTGGAAATCATACAAGACATTAAATTTAATAAAATGAGAAATTAACAACAAAGGTTTAAACAAAAAGGCCAACCACTTGGAAATTTAAAAAGTATTTTATTGGGACTTCCAGCATGAACATGGCTGCAAAAGTCAGCATTTTCCCCCTTTTCTTCTGGAAATCATTCAAACCCACAAACTCCATTTTCAGCAAGAGTTGGAAACAAATAAAACCCGCAGACTCCAAAATACATGTAAGGATTGTCCAAAGGCAACCAAGAGTGGGCAAGAGCCCCTCGGCAGTAAATGAAGAGAAGATGCATGGAAATGATGAAAGGTCATAGTGCTAGCAGATCTCAGAAAACCCCATACCTCCTAATAAAAGAATGTTGATAATTATTTAAGATAAATTCTAGGAACATGGGGGCTTATTATCTATTCTCTTTACTTTAGTGCGTGCTTGAAAATATTCTTGATAGTTTAAAAATATAGTTCCCAAAATTGAGGTTTCACTATAAAATATAAAAGTTATATCCCTTGTTCACAACAATGGATATAGACACTTTGAAAACAAGTTCAGGCTGGTGACAAAAGACTTTTAGACCTGGTTTTGTTCAGAGAAACAGAGGAGGTCAAGCTACACAAAAATCACACAGATGGACCATGTTTGCAGGAAGCTGTCTGCCTCTGTGGTGGAAACAAAGGAAATAATTGGCCTAGGAAAATTCAACACATTCAAGGACAAGTAATAATAAAAGAAATATCACAGCATTAATTCAAAAATACTTTGAGAAAAAGAAGAGAAAATATTCATCGTAACTTAACCAAAAGAAAAGGATATATACCCACCAGTAAAATTTTGCCAAGGAGCAGATGAGATGAAATATTTTGCTGTAAACTTTTTAGAAATGGGCAGTCAGAATGCAAAACAGAAATGAACTCAAGGGATCAGGAGAGTAGAATAGATGAAATACAAACTGGTAGGATTCAGGAAAAAAGAGAAAGAAACATGAAATTAGAAGGAGCCTTGGGCATAATGGCCACATTGGAAAATACAATAAGAAGCATAAAGGACAGAAATGATGAAAGTAAATAAAATGAAATGAAAATAAAGAAAGAGAAAATTACAAATATAGAAGTCAGAGAAAGGAGATTCAACATTTGCACAATTGGAGTTTCTGAGGAAGACAACCAAAAAAAGAAAAAAAAAACCATGAAATAAAACAAATAAATACTTAGAATTTAATAAAATTTCACTGAAATGAAAGAATACTTGAATATACACATTATAACAAGGTCCACTGTGTGTCAGGAAAAAGTGACTCAGATTGGTCAATACATGTCACATCAATCACTTATTAATAAAATTTAAATCTGATCTCAAAGCAAAATCTAACTCTAAAATAAAGATATTCATAAAGGCTGAAAATAAAAGATGGAGAAAACATGTGCCTGGTAAATGCAAATGAAAAGAAAGTAGAGGTTGCACTCTTCATATTAGATGAGAGTGTATTAGGTCCCCCAAATTAAGTGAGACAAAGAATGGCACTTAATAATACTAAATGGTGCAGTTCCAAGAGGTGACAATTTTAAGAGCATCTATGTGCTAAATAATACAATATCAATATTTATAAAACAGAAATTACAGGAGCTACAAAAAAGAAATTGAAACACCCTGGTAAGTAAGGGGAGATTTTAATTCTCTTCTCTCAGTTCATGTAGGGCCAAGTGGACAAAAAAGTGAGAGGATGTAGAAAACCAGCATGATTACTAACTTGATGGAACCCTGTAACCTGAAAATAGAGACTACACCTACAGCACAGTTACAAAAATTGACCATGTAACAGGCCATGAAAAAAACCTTAATGAATTTCCAAAAGTGGCAATACCACTGACAATGTTTTTTGATCCTAATGTCATAAAATTATAACTTAATAACAAGATCAAAACCTCAAAATTCTCTTCTATCTGTAAAATTTTTAACCCCACCCACCCACTTTTTTTTTTTTTTTTAAGCAATTCTCGGTGAAAGAGAGAATACAACCCAAAATTTCAGACCTGGGAAACAATGTTAAAATGCTACATATTCGAATTTACTGGTCATAGCTAAAGCAGTGTTCAGAGGAAGATTATAGCCTTAAAAACTTATGTTAATTAAAAATAAAAATGAAAACTAATGAAGCATCTAGCTCTTGGAGCAAATAATAAAAATAAAACTGTAATTATGGAATGCCAAGAAAATGAAAATGAAAACATTATACAGAAAAAACAAATACCAAGAAAGTAGTAAGCAGAGGCAAGTTCATAGCAATAAGTACTTTTCTTATCAGAATAGAAGGAGCAAAGTAAATAAAGATTCAGCTGAGGAAGTTAGAATAAAAAAAAACTTAAAATAGTAAAAAGAATAAAATAATAAAAAATAAAAGCAGAAACAAGGAAGTAGAACAGAGAATAGAATTGACAACAAAGAACTGGTCCTTTGATTGAGATTAATCAACTACATAAATAGAGCAAGAAAAAATTCAAAATGATACATACCAAATGTTAACCAAATAACTAGTTGTTATTTTTCGAGAGTCAGAATATAAGGCAATAATAATATTTTCTTCATATTCATTTGTATTTTTAACAATAAAACTGTATCACTTGCATAATTAATTCTTTCTTGGAAGAGATAGAACTTGAGCTAGACCTAAATGAGAAATAGTATTTCGCAATATGAGAAAGGAACTTACCTGAAGTATCTTTTCTGTCATTTTCAGATATAACCAACTTAGCGTGTGTACTAAGTTGTTGAATATCACAATTTATTAGGTATATTTTATCATCTATTATAGAAAACTACTGCGTTTAAACGTAAGCAGTTCTAAAACACTGCTTTAACAAAGAGAAGTCATTGGCTCTTTGTAAATAAATTGACTTTGCAAACTTTAATTGGTGCTCAAAAGACATACTTGGCTCAGTGTTTGATATCACTGTTATTTGGACGTCCTGGATAGTGAGCAATGTTGCTTGACGTGCCAATCTGTGAATTTTCCAGAGTTCTGTCTTACTCTTCAAATAAAAAGTCAGTTAACTTTTCATTTATTTGTTTGACTGTGATCTTATTCCCTTAAAAAAATGCGGCACCTATGTATATTACTCCCGATACCTAGAATACTGGATTAACCAGAAAACCTTCTTCCCTAATAGCGCTGAACAAATGTTTTCTTTCTTACTCCCTTCTGTTTTTTTCCCCTTGTTCTCTCTTTTTAATCTCCACCGTTTGCATACTTTTTATCTCTGCCTTTGTTCTTTCCCGTTCCTACCTCTTTTCCTTCTGGGCCCCTCTCATACCTCTACCTCTCCCACCTGCCCTCCTCCGCCATTTTCCTCTAATTTACTTGTGCCCTTTCCCCTCTTTTTCTTTCTGTCTCTTCGCTCCCTTCTTTCACTCTGACACCATCATGTCTCCTCTTCCTTTTCTGTCCCTCTTCTTCCTCTTTTTCCCTTGTTCCCCTCTCTCCTCCCTACATGTGGCAGGTCTATGACACACAACTGGAGAACGTGGAGGCCTTTGAGGGCCTGTCTGACTTTTGTAACACCTTCAAGCTCTACCGGGGCAAGACTCAGGAGGAGATGGAGGACCCATCTGTCATTGGGGAATTTAAGGTAAATCCTTGAGGACATGTCCTTAACCCAGGGAGGCCTAAGACTGGAGTGGCAGCAGGAAGTAAATAGTACTGGAATAATATCTGGAATGACCATAGTGATGACGCTGATGAGCGTGTGGGTAATGGAAGTGGTGTCAGTGATGGTGATGCTGCTGATGCAGAATCTGATGGTGGTGATGGGACGGCATTAGCCTTGGAAATCTCACTGGTGACGACTCTGGCAGAGATGAGAATAATGGTCATAGTGGTGATTGTGTTGGTGATGATGGTGATAAAAATGAAAGCTGACTCCTTCTTCTCAGGGTCTCTTCAAAATTTACCCACTCCCAGAAGACCCTGCCATCCCCGTACCCCCAAGACAGTTTCATCAGCTGGCTGCCCAGGGGCCCCAAGAGTGCCTGGTCCGCATCTACATTATCCGAGCATTTGGCTTGCAGCCCAAGGACCCCAATGGGAAGGTAACGTTCCTAGAACTCTCACCTCCCCCAGAATATCAGGCTGAGGTACAAATGGGCTGCGGAATCTGGACACAACTCCGCCCTAGGAAGTTCACAGTAAGCCGGGGAAACCAGACAAACATGCAAAACTGAGATGTGACTGGATAGAGTTCTATCAAGGGCCTAGAGCTCTAGGAGTTCAGAAAAGGCTAAAGTCAGTACAAGGCATTGAAGTGATGAAGAAGCCTTCCTGGAAAAAATAGGGACCGATGGAGTTTTGATAGGCTGGGAGGGAGAAGAAAATAGTCTTTTAGGAGGGGTCAAAAACCCTGGCGAAGGTATGCGACAAGGCTGCTTAGCATACATTTAGCACAAGGATAAGGCATAAGGATAGGTGACATTGAAGGTGTAGGCTGGGATTGGATTTTGTAGGACTTTCAATGTGGGGTGTGGGGGAAGGAGAGAAAGAGCAATGGAATAGGATCAGTAATCCTGCCTTCCCATGGTAGAGCTGGAGGCAAAACGAAAAATCAGTAATACTTCTCCTGGCTTTATTTAAATGTTTGATATTTTGTTCCCCATAGACTGTTGGCATTGATTTTAATTTTTTAAAATATTGCATTAAAATATTGTTAATCTTGATTACTGAGTTTTTTGGCCCTCCCAAGTACCTCATCGCCTCCCTCTAGTCCCGGCCCTGAGTGAAGGAGGGGAACTTGAAGGAGGGCAGGCATCTGGAGTTAGGGGGAGGCAGTGGAGAGAGGGGCAAACTGAAGTTGAGACAGGAGAGGAAAGAGAAAAGAGAAGAGGCAGGGGTGGGGACAATTGGAGTTGAGAAATACAAGGCCAGGGTCCTCTCGTCCCCTTAGATGGGTATAGGCCTAACTAGTGTCCTCAAAGTGAGGGGAGAGGTCTGGTCTCCTACCGCTGGAGCCCTGCTTTTCAAGGTGAGAAATCATAGCTGCCAGTGCCCTCCTGGGAGGTCGCAGAGCAGAATGGAGCCATCCCCAGCCCAGGCATCACCAGTAACCTCCAAGACATGGTCTCTAGCCCTTGTAGGAGAAGGCGGGTGACCAGTGCTCAGTTCATGCACTTTAAGGCTTCTCAATGCCAAGACTGACCCTGAGCACTCTCCAGCTCTAGCCGCTACTGGAGGATAGTTGAGGAGATGCTGTTGCTCGTAGGAGGCATCCAGGGA